TTTAAGTACCTTTTATGTTTCAAATATCTATACTTATGACTAATTTGGACATTCAGATCGGTTTTAAAGTTTTCGGATTTTTGGATTACCCATTCAAGTTTGGCTAATAACACTATAAGAGACTCATTTTCTTCTATCTCGGACCGAGTACATATCAAATCGTTAGTTTGGATTCAATTTAGATTTTAGATTACAAATTTTATACTTAAACCTATTTTAAATATAGACAAAATGCGATTATATAAAGTTTTCATCAAAAAATTATTTTGCGCTTGAAAAGTACAGATTAAAATCTAGTACATGTTGTAAATAGCTTTATGACCCTGGGAACTTTCAAAAGTACCAAACCATTGGGTCTGAGCGGGCAATAATTAAAGATTCAGGATTAGATCCCAATTGGCACAATTATTTATATAGTTCGAAAAAATATACATAAAAGAATCATGAAATTAATTGGACTCCATTACTTTAAAAAGAAGATTCATAAAGTAAGATATTGATGAGCAAATTGAAACAAAAACCATGAACATAACTGGATACCATCACCGTTAATTTTAACCCCAGTTGACAGGCCAATTATGTGCCGTGTGGGAGGAGCCAAATGAGTGGATTTACTATTGCACATACCACTTTAGCATGCAATTAATCTTCACTCCGTTTCATTTTAATTGTCATTCTACGTTTTTGCACTCGTATTAATGAAAAATTTAATTTTACATATTTTCAAGAAAAAAACACAATTACCTATACACCTAACCACTTTTCGACCAATAGAAAAATAGAATATCATATAAAACTAATAAATTTTGTCTTGAAACTTGAAAAAACACTTATTTTGAAACAAATTTTTTTTCTCTAGAATGACAATTAATTCGAAATAGAGGAAGTATTTTTTTTTTATAACTGAGTATGCAATTAATTAATTAACTCGATTGATTGATATAAACTGTCATAACTTCATTTAGTCGTATATATAAAAACTTTTTGTTTGGCAAAATTATATATATATATATATATATATATATATATATATATATATATATATATATATATATATATATATATATATATAAACTTTTTCATAACTTCTTCCGGTTGTAATAAATAACTTCCTTAGCTTTCACTGTTGTTGCCCAAGTGAATTATGTAAATATTGATCAAAGGGCTACAGCCATAAACTATATTAGCAATCCAATACAATCTACCCAAACCTTTTCCCAAAATATAAGCTCTGAAAACTCCCCAAGAAATCATTAGCATCCCAAACCAAACCCCAAACAAACGACTGAAGCAATACAACAAGATCTGTTTGAACTTTATCAACATTAAACCATATAAGACTCACTGAATTAAATTTTTTTTTGGTCAAACGACTGAATACAAAATTAAGTGTCACTTTGAGTAATGAGACATTTACTAGTATATTTCCTCTATATATTCCACCATTATTGTCCACTCTTTTTGTTTTGTTTCCAAAGCTTCCTGATGTATTTGAATTCTAATTAAATCTAAACTCATAAATAAAAATGAATTCTTAGTCGTTTCTATAAATGAATATAGACACAATTATAGTATGACACACATGTTTCTTTGAAAAATAAAAATAAAGTATTTTATATAAAATATAAGTTTAAAATATAAGTTATAAAAACTAAATATATATTATATTTTATATAAAATACTTTATTTTTCTTTTTTTAAAGAAACATATGTGTCATAATATAAATGCGTCTATATTCATTTATAGAAACGACTAAGAAATCATTTTTATTTATGAGTTTAGATTTAATTAGAATTCAAATACATCAATACCGATTTTTATTTATGAGTTTAGATTTAATTAGAATTCAAATACATCAATACCAATTATGTGTATATATATATATCATAACTTTAGGTAAGTTTTTTTCACATAGGTAAGTTATTTTGAAATTACAAATAAAGGAAACAAATTTAGACCAAAATATTATGCACCAAAAATAATATTATAAACCTTAAATCTTATTGAAAACTATATATTGAATTTTACAAAATATCTATATTATAAAATTTATTTTCGAACAAACTAAATTATCCAAATACTTATAGATAATTTAGACTTTTTTTCTAAAATCTATATGAAATTAAGAAAAGAAAACTTTTATAAACATATATGCAGTTGTTAGGATGATGCAAAAATACATTATTACATATTTTTAAAACCTCTTAAAAATCTACATATTTTTTTTAAGATGAAAAGATAATCGTTATGAAAGACTCATTCTTAAACATTTTGACAACTTCTCAAAACAACATAATTTTAAAGATAAAAATACATTTAAGAAAATCTAATTATTAATAGTTATATTAAAACATAAATTTTCCTTGGTACGGTGGTGTTCATATTCTTATTAAACATAAAATTGTGAAAAATGGTTGGTATAATAAATAAAATAAGCAAATAACAAAATAAAATCTACTAAAATTTATGGCATTTTGAAAATGAAAAGATACACTCTTTAACCTTTTCAATAACTTTATTATTAATAATAATGTTTAAAAGAAAAGAGAGAACATATTTTTTCATACCTATTTTGCATAATTGACATATATTATCCAAAACTGATCTATGTTTTTGTCTCTAAAGGTAAGAGTCAGTACTGAAGATATACAGACATGACTTTCCTCTTTGATGTGATTACCACTTGATAAAAAGTAAATACAATACTATAAAAGTTTTTTACATCAATTATTTTTAACTTAACTGAAAATTTTAGCTTTAATGGACCACAAACTAATATATTTAATTATCTAAATATTTAAATAAAAAAATAAGTAAACTACCCGATAAAGAAAACACTAGAATATTTTTAAATAATCTTAAGGTTCTTTAAAAAAGATAAAAAAATTAGAGATGAAAATGAACGAAAGACACTTCTTACAAATTTAACAACCTATCAAAAAACTAATGCAAAATTTTATGTTTATAGGTATATCTTCAAATATTTTTGATGATCTTTGAATAATGGGCACATCTCTCAAACAACATTTTCTTAAGTTTTTGTCAGAAATAGTCTTCGAAAAATAAAATGACCAAAATACCTTTTTTTTATTTTGAAATTTGTAATATTTATTTTCTATTTTTTTTTTATATTTGAAACCCTAAACCTAAAACTTACCCCTTAACTATAAATTATAAGTCTAGATTAGTTAACCCAAAGATATAAATACATATTTATCTTTTAATAAAAACTTACTTTTGTTAATTTCCTCTTTGAAGATTATTTTTATAAAAATAAACTAAAAAAATCTATCCAAAGGAATTTTTCTTAATACACCTCTCTTTTTAATCTATTTTTGATTTTGTTTTCTTTTATGGTTGTGTCATTGTCTATAACACCTTACTAGATCATAACCCGCCCGACTGGGCGGGTCTTTGTTTTTATGGTATATATAACATTTCAAAATTACAATTTAATGGTGCCAATTTTACTAAGTAATAGTATATTGTTTAAATATTGTATTTCATTATTGTATTGTATAACAGGGGGGTCTTAAAATATTGTGACCCGTAAACATTTTAGTAATATTTTATAAAGTTTTTTGACTAAATTTGGTGTAAAGTTATATACACTAAATAATTTAGTCAAATTTTTAATTTAATTTTTAATGAAGAATTGGAAGACTAGTATATCACTGTTAAAAACTTATAAGAATAGTCAATATAAATTATATAAATAAAATATATATTATTCTTGATTTGTTCTAAATACATTTAAAACATGAATACATATATGTATAAATAATTTTTAGAAGTAAAATAATATCAATGATAGAAAATCCAAAAACAATAATAATGGTACCTTGGGCCGCAATAATCTTTAGTATAATAAATAAGCCCAATGAATTTGTATGATATCCATGTTTCCAATCAAACTTTTAAAATTTTCTTATTCATATTTCCAAACACTTTATTTTTGTACTTCAGCTTTAATAGTATAGATATGAGAGATTAAGCGTTGCTGTGGTTGACCATCAAATATTACAATAGTTAACATCAAAAGTTGTAGTGATTCATTATTACATGATACCATCACCAAAAGTACAATGGTTCCTCACATCATATTGCAATGACTCATCATCAAAGATAACAATGATTCATCATCAAAGTTGCAATGTTCATTTAATCAATTGCAACTGTTCATATAGACAATGTAATAGTTCACTTAAATGAAAAGAAACACATTTACATATTTCCACAACATCTTAAGAAACCACGAGACAAATACATCTTAAAGCAATTTTATTGGGGGTTCTTAAAACATATATATATGTATATATATATATATTATATGCGTATATAATATATACATGCACATATATATGTTTTAAGAACCCAAGAACAAAAACCCTCCATAAGGTTACTCTTACATCTGCCATTTTCTTTGCAAGACCAACACAACATATACACCTGTCAATCCAAATTTGTTATGTCTGAATACATAACAGACTGTATTTAGACTTAAAATTTTGGATTGATGGGTGCTGACCGGTGTATATGTTGTGTTGGTCTTGAAGAATTTGCAGATGTGAGATGCATTTGTCTCCTAGTTTCTTCAAATAATTGGATTGAGAAGCACCATCACAACATTGACTTCATAAGAAGAAGTCGAGCGCTACTTTTCTGATTCTTCTGTCAGACATTGGAAACATTGACCAAGTCAAGATCATGCTTCTGATACCATTTGTTGAGGTCTCTCGTTACTCTTTCTCTCGTGCTTTTTCTTCTTCTTACTACTGCTAGGTTTGGGTTTGGTTCAGCCGTAGCCCATGGGACCTTATTTGCTCTCAGTCGGAGCAGACATGACATATTTTGTCAGTTATACATCTTCCTATGTGTATGCTCGACGTTATTGGAGGCACTGTGAGGTTTAACGAGAAGCAGAGGTCAATGTTTTTGAGGCATTACCTTCCTTGGGATTTTCGAGCAGGAAGACAATGTACACCATGTGTGTGTACTATGAGCGTCCCTTTAGTGAAGACTTGAAGCAAGTCAAGAGAAAATGGGGGATCATCTCTGCTCCTCAACATCCTAAATAATGTGAGACTTGTACTTTATCTATGCAGAACTAGTTACAGTGTAATTTGGTTTTAGAATCCATTTGATTCAGAGTAATAAACAAGTTGTCATTTAGTTGAACATGCTTTGGAAGTTTACAATTCAAATGATTTTGAACATTTTTTCAGCAGAATATTACAGAACACAGAGGTTGACAAGAAACTGACTTGTTACCATTTAAAGGCACGCATCAAACAGTTTTATAGTGAAAACACAGAGGTGGATACGCATTTGCATTTTTACTTGCCACCAGTGAAGAGATAATCGAGAGATGATCCACCTCCAGGAGCTGCATGAACTTTGGTCGAAGGACGCTCCTGCAAAGAGAACAACACTACAATGTTACTTCAAACATTACATTGAACTGAGTACTGAGTAACTTCAACAAAAAAAAAACAGAAACATACAGTGAGGAAGTTTCCGGTGTTCTGTCCTTCAGAACGGGCGTAGTTGTTAACAGGAGTTTTGATACCAGCGGGAATCAGCTTGTTGAGCTCTGCAGGCTCAACAGTAGTTGTAGCTGTTGCAGTCACAGGTGCTGGTGCAGGTGCAGCGGTCTCTGCAGGAGGAGCTGGAGCGGGCTTAGGAGCAGGAGGAGCTCCAAATAGATAGTTCAGTGAGCTTTGACCTCCACCACAGCTGTTTCCACGACCCATATTGTATAAAGTGGAAAGACTTTTTGAAACCTATCAACAAACACAAATACACATTTAGCTTCTAAAATAATAATGTCAGGTTGTTCGTAGCCAAGTGGCAACTGAGCTATGCCTTCGAGCCCTTATGTTAGGGGTTCGACACCTCCTTACCTCTAGGATTTCCGTCCTGACCAAATTGACAAAAAAAAGCTTCTAAAATATTAATAATAATCTCTAATAATAATATCTCCACAGAAGCTAGCAAAATACACAACTGAAATGTTCAGTCGATTAGATCTAAAACCAAATCAACATTTCTTGAATCTAACAGAATCCTTAGAGATCAAATCTCCTAAACTTAGGCGGTTTAAATACAGAGGAAGGTAGCGAAGAAATCGATCTGTGAGAATTGAGAAGCAAACCTTGGGGGGGGGGGGTGAAATTCACGGATCAGATCTAGAAGAAGAAGGAAACGGAAGGAGAAGAAGAAGCCAAACGCGGACTCAGTGTAACTGACTACTGAGTCATGAGCGAGGTAATGCATATATATATAAGGTCAAACCGGTTTTGCTAGTGTCAGGGTTGTTTCGGTTCAATTAATCGGTTCTTTAGTTAACGATCGAATTAAATTGTTAGTTAAGGGTTCCTCCGGTTCAGTTGAACTACCTAAATTCCAAGAGAAGGTTTGACCAAACCGGTGAATTTTGAGAAATTTCAGCTTGATTATTTTGGAGTGGAACAAAGCTAAAATGATTCAATTACATCAGTAACACGAAATTACCAATGGTGTAAGTATTGGTGCTTTTCACGAGATTCGACGACGGTGACGATATTAATAGTGAGGGATGTGTTTGTGGTGGGCCATTGTTATCTTATGGTCAGTCTTTATCAATGTTCGAATCTTATCATTTAAATATTTGTACCTTTGAAAGATTCCTGTAGCAGTGACTAACTAATTCATCATGTTTAGTGTCCAAGTAATAATTTCCAGTAGCAAGCAACTTCATGAAAATTTTAAACCGGATACATTGAAAAGATTCAACTTTTTAAAATGATTAATCATTGTTCCAACTATATATCAAATTGCCTACGTAGCATAGTGGTATTGCGTTCGCTTCGTAAGCGAAAGGTCGTGAGTTCGATCCTCATCGTGGGCTTATTCTTCTATCTTTTTCGCTCTGACGTGTGTGAATAAATTATTTTGGGTTGGAACATTGATAAAAAGGTTTTTGGAATCTTCTTCAATAAATCTTTTTGGTCACGCAAGTCAACATTGCTCTCTTATTAACCTAAATCATTTCTCATTTGATTCATTTAACTAACCGACACAACTTGTTCAGCATGCCCAATTTTGGTTAAGAGGGTCACAACTAATCCTAGAACATCAAAACAAATTCAATAACAAGAACATGAAGAACGTGAAGACAACACTAAGGACATGGAGTAAAACATGAGAACCACCTACACATTGTTGAATGCTTAGCTTTCCTACTTCTGCTGGTCCTTGTGTGTCTTCTAATTGCCTATCTTGTTTCTTGAACAGTTTTTCTGAATTACTTCTTGCAGCTCCTACCAAAATTTACAAGAAAACTATCACTAAACACTACAAGAAAACAGGTGTCTAACGACTACACTATTGGTTGTTAATTAGTCGTAATATGCCATTTACGATCAATTAACATCGAAAACCAATTGGTCGTTATTCGCTAGTCGTAATGCACAATTAGTCGTAATGTAGTCGTAATGTTACGACTACAATCATTAGTCGTAACGTAGTCGTAATATTACGACTAAGGCGTTAGTCGTAAAATCGAGGTGACACACGTAGTCGTAACGCAGTCGTAAATAGATTAGTGGTTTATTAGTCGTAATAAATTTAGAAGTTAATTAGTCGTAATGCTTGTAGTAGTTCACTAGTCGTAAACTTTAGTAGTTACTTAGTCGTAATATTACAACTAAGTAACTTCGACAGTTGTTGTCGATTAGTCGTAAATCAAAGACTAATTTACGACCAAATTAGATTTTATTTTTAAATAAAACGATTTTTTAATTTGAACTTTTTTTTTTTTTTTGAATTTTAATATTTTTTTTTTAAATAACAAATTTAAAAAATATATATATAAAATTATATTTGATTACAATAATATACAAAGTATTCATACAAATTAAAAACCGAAAAACTAAGGTGTTTTGTTGAGGTTCATGTTTTGGAAGAACTCAGTAGAGTGCTGCTCCGCACGTCGATCCATATCCACTTGCTCTTCCGGAGTGGGGTCGGGGTTAAAGCTCGGACGTAGAGCTTGCCATGCATTGGCAACCGTCGGGTTTGGGTTCGAGGTCTCCATCATGAGATCGAACATATTCGCCATAGCCTTGAACTTGTCTTTATGCTCGTCTATGACTTTGTTGGCAGCTGCTAGTTCCCGTCGGAGAGAGGAATCTTCTTCTATTCTTGCTGCATGTTCGGCCCTCGCCCTCGGGACATCGTTCACCGTCCCGATCCCAACAATACGTCCCCTTTTCTTCGGAGCAACCTACAAATATTATATAAAGATCAATTAAATTTTAAGTAAAAATGTGAAAACTTAATAAAAAATTTAAACTGTTAATGAAGTTAAAAATTAAAATAATTTACCTGCTCGAAAATCTTGTCTTGGTCGATGGTTGTAAGTTGGACCGGTGGAGCATCCGGATTTTGTTGCGACATCTGAGTCTGGACCTCTTCGATCCGAGCCTCTACCTCGTTGTAGATCTTCTCCGCTTGAGGATGCACAAAAGTCCCATCAGAACGCTGGTGGGTAANAAATTAAAATAATTTACCTGCTCGAAAATCTTGTCTTGGTCGATGGTTGTAAGTTGGACCGGTGGAGCATCCGGATTTTGTTGCGACATCTGAGTCTGGACCTCTTCGATCCGAGCCTCTACCTCGTTGTAGATCTTCTCCGCTTGAGGATGCACAAAAGTCCCATCAGAACGCTGGTGGGTAATCTTGTATAACCGAGGGAGAGATGGTGGCGCTCCTTCTTTGGCGGCCTATATTAAAAAAACAATTTAAATTAAATTTACATTAAAAATTATAATAAAATGATCAAGAATATTCAAACACTTACAATTTCAAGTGCCCTCCCAGCATGTGGAGTCTGCCCGGAAGTATGAGGAATTGGCGGGTTACCTTGAGCATCTTTGGTCAACCGGACCGCAGAGTACTTCGTAGACTTCGCCCTTGACTCAGGCTTCATCCAGAACGCCACCAAACCAACCCAAACGTCATTGCTGAGGTAGGTTGGTTTTGCGTCATCCTGTCGTAGCCTCCAGTCGTCCTTCCAATCTCCAAGAATGTTCTTGAGGCGCTGCATCGCCTTTTTGTAGAACCCAGATTTGACCTCCTCGTTGACACCAATGGACCAATTCCATTTTTGCTACAAAAAGTTTATGAAAAATTAAAAAACATAATTAGTACTTTAATTTATATATATAAATATATATACAATCAATTAATAATGCATGAAATAAATTTTTTAAAAAAATTTAGAAACTAATTACCGCGAAACACTTGANTGGGTCTCCGGAACTGGGTCAGGGCCGGATGAGGTGCCGCCGGATGAGGTGCCAGCCGAGGTAGATGACTGACCGAGAAAAGTACTCGCGTAGGAGTTTTTAGCTGCGAGGTTCCGGATTCTCTTTCTTCCAGACATAGCTAGCGAATATCTGAAAATTATAAAAAACATAAACCGGTTAATTAACTAATCAATTAAAACAAATCAAAACCTAAACTAATTACAAACCTAAACTAATTACAAACCTAAACTAATTACAAACCTAAACTAATTACAAACCTAAACTAATTACAAACCTAAACTAATTAACTAACTAACCACCTAAAAAAAAAAATTACCTTGAGAGATGTTGTATAGTGGTTAGAGAGAAGTGAATGAGCAACTGAAATGCTTCCGCGAGGTCCCTATATATATACAGTTTTGACTATTCGTCGTACATTAGTCGTAATATTACGACCAATTTATGACCATTGGTCGTAATTTGGTCGTTGTATTACGACTAATGTACGACCAATACGTATTACGACTACATTACTACTACGGATTACGAGTACATTACGACTAGTGTGGGTCAATACGTGCATTACGACCAATTAGGGTCTAACTGTTACGACTACATTACAACTAAGTGTTGTAATGTAGTCGTAGTGTTACGACTGTTTAGGCTCCAAATACTTGTTAATCGTAATGTAGTCGTCTAATCCCTAAACCCTAAACCCTAAACCCTAAACCAAACCACAAACCACACATTTCCAACCCCTAACCCCCAATTAATTAAGATATCGTATCTCAAAAAAAAATATCGGAATATTATTCGGATCATATAATATAATGCAAACATAATTAATTAAGATATCGGAATATTATTCGGATCATAATATAATGCAAACATAATGGAATCAAATACAACTGACGGTAAAGTACATAATCACTCGTCATCGGAAACATTTTCCACCTCATCATTTTCTTCAAATTCATCTTCGTTGGCTTCGTCCAAAATCGCATCGTCTGGAAGTTCTTCATATATCGGATTCTGCGGATCAACAAGTAAGATATCATCAATACGTTGCTCAGGTACTTCTACTTCA